CTAAACCAAACATTTTTTTTGTTTGGATACATCTGTAGATATGATGTGTGTAATTAATTGTTCAGTCAAAAATGCAATTCCATGGTGCATTTGATGATTTAGATACACAACAGCTTTAGTTCTCTGAGCTGACTAAAAATAGTGATTTTAATTTATTCCTGCTGCCTACAATTACTCACAACCATGTATTTTTAAATATTTCCAGTCTATAAAAATTACTAATTTTTGCCACTTCTGTTTATCTGCATTTAGACTTTGATTTGGATAAATTAAGCTCTCAAGTGTTCCTTGCTTTATGAAACTCTGCATGTTGTACACTTCAACACAAATAAATGACTTCTACCATTAGAGGTTTAAATAATGTAATGTATTTCATGCTCAGCCTGAAGCTGGATTCCAATGAAGTTGCTAATGCACGTAATGATTAAGTGTAACTCAAATACTAACTGTGTTGTTGAAAACATGACAGGCAATAATTTGGTCTATTATATTCTGCCATTTAATTGCCTAGTACAGACATTCTCTGACACGTTATGAAGCAATGATTTACAATTATTCAAGCTGCAAAGGTCAGAAAGTGACATTATAATCATCTACACAGAGATCCCTTCTAATGCACAAAAACTAGGTAATACCACACAAAAATAGTTTTACTGGAGTTGCAACTTTCTATTTAAGGTTTCTTAAAGAACACAAGAATAAATAGTTAATTTATAGTAGATTACAGCACCCCTAAAAACCCAATGTACATTTTCTCTGTTCCTATGGATAAGTTTAGAAATGAGCATGTTATTCGCAAGGCTAAATGCAAGCAAGTACAGTAAGTAAGTATCCTGATGCTAAAACTACCCACTCAAAAATCTGGAGTTAATGGAGAAAAAAAAGTCTACTAACCATTTATTTGCATTATGTCTGGTATCTTTTGACAGGTCAAAGTAGATCCCCATTAATAAAGCTATAGATAAATTAACACACCTGTTTTAGCTGCAAATATTTTCCTCAGATGATCAACCAATGTCATGAAAAGACTGGACTTTATACAGATTCTGAGACCACCAGACTATCTATAGCACCAATTATAGTGTCAAGATATAAACTGAAGTCATTTGCATCTTTAGGGCTTTTAAAACTATTCTCAAAGTTGACTAATATTAATATTACTAGTGCTGGCTTATTCAGCAGCACATCTAAAAATTTCTCCAAAGTTAAATGAGAAAAGGAATTTCAAAACATTTCTGGGAGGTGTGGAAATAAGAACCACAAGAAAGGGAAATCTGAGTAAAACTTCAAGAAAATCAAGACGAAGGTTGTCTATGCAAAAATACACTGTCGCTTCTTAAAGCACTGGACTATTATATCTGGAATCAGAATAATGACAATATGAAGATAATAAAACAAAAGTCTTTTAAACCGTGTGTGTGCATGGCTTTGTGCATGTTTTAAATGTTAAAAATATCCCCCAAACGTACCTGACACCAATTTTCTTCAGCAGATCCTTATTAAAAAGCCAAATTGAAAGACGGAAAGACAGAGAGAAAGAAGCACTCTTAGCTGAAACACGTTCCTATACATTCCCCCCCACCCCCCACTTAAAACAATAAAATCTGTTTCTGAAAGCAAAGGCAAGGGAAAAGTAGATGTATATGTTACCTATAAATTCTGTTCAAAATCTGAAGAACAATGTATTTTTCATGTTCTACCTGAGGCATACAATTTGAAAAGCACACGATAAACATAAGCACGCCACTGGGCAAATGAAACAAAAATTCTAAATGCTGGGCAACCACTAAGATTTGCTAATCTAACTCAAGTGTCTCAGGCAAATTAATAGCCAGATATTTTAAATTAAATTTAAATATGTAGCAGTTGACTACTCAGAAAATAGATACTACCCTCTCAAATAATGGATATATTTTCCAGTCGTGGATATGGGGAATGGAAAACAATCACAACACATCTGCCGACAAGGAAATGAGGAGCAGTTGGTTTATTTCAAATGTTAAAAGATTAGTGTTGTCCAATTTCTCTGTCAAGGAGTTTCTGCTGTGCAGCTGAAAAAAACCTATACTTAAATTAAAAAAGAAAACAGAAAATGGTTCTAGTTTTTCTATAGCTAGGTAAATTACCTTTCTGTGGCATACAGTACATATAATATATTCTGAGCAATTGAAATGTTTAGACAAGCCTAAAAGAATCAAGGCTGGTTTGGCATATTTATTTTTACAAATATTTTAGTTTCCGATCCAAAAGGAAATTGTACTTCTTCAAAACAATCAAGTGATATCCTGAGACTACAATAAACCACAACCTAGCACTGACATTTCACCTTGAAAAGGCTCCTGAACAGGTTCAACAGCATTTGAAAAACAATTTATCCTTACAGCTAGCAGAGGGCTTATTCCTATGAATCCAAAAGTCAGAGGATAGAATATTAACTACTGCAGAAAAGAAAACATAGTGCAGGACCTTCTGTTTGTGACAAAATTACAGAGTTAATGTTCCTGAAAGATCACTTCACCTCTTAAAGCATGATTTTTAAAAAGGTAAAATTTATAGCAATTAAAGCTAATGAAGAAATGCAGCATGAGCTGCTTATGTTCAGGAACTAATAGGTCCACTGAGCATTTCTAAGATTATTTAGCCATCAATGATAATGAATTGACATTGTCAGTGGTGTTAATGTACCAATGCTCTATAGTGCCACTAATCCGATAGCCAATCCTAGCAATTTTTTTATGTTGCTACTTTATTTTTTAACCTACGTACTCTTCTATCCTTTCAATTAATACAGCAGAAATACAGCACAAGCTATTATACTTTTTTCCCCCCTTCTTCCACATTAAGGATGGCATATTCATTATTTGGTCTACAGTTCAACTGCATTGGTCATTCCTTATTCTTCGAATCCATTTTAATTCTTCAGGATTGTTAGCTTCAGTGTAAAGATGTCTTTTCCAATTAAACCAATGTTAATATATAACTGTTAAAATACATTTTTGGTGCATATCAAGTGAAATGTGATGATTATTTAAACTGCAAAAGGACTAAACTGCACTATAAACCAGATTTTTGTGCGCAGAGGGTGGTGATGGTGGAGGATGTCTCTTTGGCTGGTTGTTTTATTATATATAAAATACACAGATCTATGTTGTAAATGAAGATTAGTGGCATAACTCTATACAACAATATAAATATATAGCTATTTGGCTACCAGTATGACATTTCAACAGCATGTAGTAAACAATTAGCCTAGCAAAGTGACTAATAGACTTAATTCCATAGCTTAAGTCATACAAATATGTTTTATTCTTGATAGTTATATGTTTTCTGTTGCAAGTTCTAAGAATATTTTAGTACCATGCCAATAATAAATAGGACTGAGCTTTTGATATCCGAAAATGTGCCAAATTCTCCTCACAATTAATTTCTTCTCTGTAGGGGATATGAACTTAATGATTTGGTGATTACAAAAGCTATTTCTCTGTTGATATGATAATTAAATAATACGCTAACTTTTCAATGTGAGTCAATGGGATGTTGAATTGTGAAGTAATAGACAAGTTTGTTGACAACTTTAAAGCAAAGTCTAAGCTTTGTTCTCTTTGTTTTTTGTGCACCTGTATTTGTTAATTATCCTTCACACAAAAGATACTGTAATTTATAGGGTAAAAACTGTTAACAGGATTTTTAAAATGCCTAAAAAGACGTCTATTAAAATGTCCCATGTTGCACTTGAATCTTGTAGCTAATATAAGAAGTAACAAAAGTCATCCTACTACTGATCTTATGTGAACTTAAGGACAAACTTCATATAAATTTACTTCATATTTAAATAAGTCAACCATCAATTACCCCAATTGAATAAAATCACCCAAATAACATTCCTTGCAAAATTATTTGTAAAATAGATAGATAAATCAGTGAAAATCACTCAGCTGCATTTTCAGCTGAAGATTCACTTGTCCTTTGAAATGTGAAACTCACTTTGTCCTGCAATAAATATGTATTGCAAATGATAACTACAAGAACCTCCTGCTGAATAATATCCCTAACATCACACCATACCATTCATGTGTGCAGTGCATTATCTAATTGAACCTGTGCTATTTTACACATTAGCCATAAGACCTCTACAGCAGGTGACACAGGTTTGCATAAAGTGTTTTTATATGATGCATATATTAGTTAATTCTCTCGCATAATAACATTAAAATATATTTTTAATCAGAAGTAGGGTATAAAAATCCAACTCTGAATGTCCTGTGATGTACCATATATGCCATGGCATTTTAAAACCTTTTAAACATTTCTGCTAAATTAATTAGTTTTGCATTAAGGAGTCTCAATGCCTCCTATTAAATGCAACACATTTGAAGGACAATTAAACATTATGAATGATCCTTCTGAAGAAATAACCATTAAGTAAGAAAGAAAAACAGGAATTTTTTGTAACAAACAAGAACACAAACATCTATTAAATACTTCAATTTTTTAAAAACATAGTATGCATGTAATATTTTATATCCAGTTGTCTGAAAGCCAGTCTTCTGTTTTGTTTTCCTAAGGAATGAAATCCCTAATAGAGCCCACAGATCTGTTAATGGAACTAAAATTATAACAGTACGGGGGTGGGGGGGGGAACGGGACACACCACATACACACAGAGTAAAGTCTGTATTATATATTTTTTATGTCTTTAAATGGAATTTACAGTTCTCCCTGGCAATGTGAATGAACATCCTATAATTTAGTCAATTTACAGATTACAGGTTCAAATTGACCTTGTAGCCCGTAAAATTGCTCATCTTCAGTGCAGGATTAGAAGTGGGAAAAGAATGTCATAACTGTATTTAAGGAATTTACCATAACAATGGAAAGGAGGATATGCATGCATAATTTTAGCCACTCTTGCTCACATCACAGTTTTGAATTCTGAAACAATGCATATCCTGCACTCTTCTCCTGGTTAACCATCGTAGAAACTGTTTCAATTTACTCACCCACAGACATGACACTTGTATTCCCTCATCCCAAGGTGCCTCTTGACATGGTTTCTGGCATCTCCGAGCTGAGCTGTTGCAAAGTGGCATATCTTGCACTTGAATGGCTTTGATCCTAAGTAAAATTTAGCATAAGATACGAGTTGAATTAGAATAATATATTACTCATGGTTAAAGAAATAAAAATTCCTTGGAAAAAATAACCTTTAAAAAATATATCCCACATTTACCGTTTAAGAATTTTGTCTCGCAAAAGAAGTTATTACATACACTTATCACTCCAGGGATACAGATATATACCATAGATTTCCCATTAAAGAGAATTTCCTTAAGTTCACTGAAATGACATTCCTTAAGCTCACTGAAACTACTTTCATATTGAACTTTTAATAACCATTTACTTTTTATAAAGAGTATTAAAATCAGAAGACGATATACTAGGACGATACCATTTAAATGAGGTGATCAACGTTTTTCTACACCTTTCCCCATTTTCAAAATAGCTAAGTCAATTAATGGCCATAAAAAGTTTGGATGAAAGATGTAAACTTAAAAATATCCTTGTTCTTAAAGTAAATATGTATGATAAGTTCATTTAATTTTACTGTATTCCTCTGACTTTGAATAGATTTCACAGTAACATTGGTATTTCAAATTTCTTCTGTCATGCCTAGAGAATGATTCATCGCCTTGCTATTGTAATGACATGCAATGTATGACTATACAGTGGGTAAAATATTATGCCTTTATGACTGCTTTATGGTCAAGAATTTATGCTTCTGCAAACCAGAAGTATTGACATTTTGCTTATTATTTATTTTAAGAACAAACTTTATTATTAAATGGCCAGTGAAAACCAAAGAATTATTTTTAAAAAATGTCTAATGAAGTAGGAATAACCTATTCTGTTTGAACATATCAGGCCAGGAAAAAGTCTGTACAGAAATAATGTATCTTGATTAACACTGACTCCCCAGTCAAGATGAGAAAGTTGCATTACAACTGCGGTATAATGGTTAAATGTGGCAGATGTCCATTCGTAGGTTACTAAGCAATGACACTTTATTTTAAAGTATGCTGTAACACTTTCCAATTTTCTAACTAGTAAATCCTTAAAATCAATAAATCAAAATCACAGAATTGCATTTAAAATTAAGTACAACATGTTCAGAGATTCTTCAAATTATGTTTAGTATGTTTTGTGAAGTATGTCTTCCAATAGAGTTAAGCATAATATGAAATATGTGATCTTCAATAAATACACATAAAGACTCTGATAAGAAAAATGTTATAGTATATCATACTTGATCAATGAACCTTTGTGCTGTGTCCTTGAAAATAGAATATCCTCCAAGAATACTTTGTTGAAATTGAGGATCTTAGTAAAAAATTTTAGAGTCTTAAATTTCAATTTAATTCCCAAAAGCTGATGAAAAATGAAGCATTTAATTTTAATCTTCTAGCAGAAATAAAAAAGTCAACAGTACTAAGCACAGGCAGACAAGGTTGAATATTTCACAGTTCAATGACAATGAAGCCAGATCTCTTAATACTTCCATTTCTACTGTTAGAAGATGTAAAAAATATTTAGCACCTGAATGGTTATATCTAGTCAGCTTTATATGTTTAAATGTCAAAAGCAGGTTGAGACTGCAGCTAACAGCAATCACATTCTATCAATCACACTGAAAAACCCCAGTTTATTTAAATGATCCTGATAAAACTAAATTAAACATTAATTTGGTGACATTCCAAATCAACACTGTATTCTATAAAGGGACCCATGCAAATAAAATAAGTTTGAATAGTGTCAATATACCTTCACATTAAATAAAAAACGTTAAAGTTGATGTTCTAACTTATGAGCTTCAAGACTAATTACACAATTAATAATATCAAGGCTATAGCTAGATATGATGAGAAAAAAAAAACCTCTACCAGTAGTTATATTGCCATTTTATTTCACAGAATTCAAATATCCTGTGGATTCAACTCTATTTTTTTTGGTTTCTCTCTCACACAGATTAAATTGTAAATTTGTTCCTCTTTCTGTTACTGCGGGTATCCCACAGGGCTCTGTATAAGACCTTTGCTGTTTTCAATTTACATGACTCCTTTGTGAAAAACTATAGTTCAGTCCAGTCTTAGTGTTCATTGCTACACTGTGCTGACAATACATAAATGTATTTTTCTGTTGACTGCTCTCAACTAAAAATCACTGAGGCCTTGACAATTTTTTTCTCACATACACAGCTGAATGTCTGTTAACATCTCCATTTAAACACCATGAAAATTCAAGTACTGGAAGGTTACAGCCAGTACTTATTGTCTGAAACAAAAACAGTAAAGGTCCTTTTAACTTGGTGGCACCAAATTTGGTCCAAAACCTCTTCTGGGTAGAACAAATCTATACATATATATTTTATACCTAACATATAAACTTTAGATTCATAAAGTCAAATCAATGGGGCAAAACTCTGCATTTTCTGAACGAGTACTTAAAACAATATTTTTCCCAACCTAGATTTTTCTTGGCCATATTTTTATTATCTCAGTACTTTCTTTATTCTGTGAAATGAGACACATTGTTCACTGGCTTTACACTTGGTTCTTAATTAATTTCAAAACAGTTGTAATACCTTCATTTACAGCACCTTTCCAACGAAAGAGCTTTAATAAATATAGGGATCATATCACCCACAACCTGTGGTGTGGAAACAGAGCAGCCGTCGTGTGATAGCAACATCACTCTTTAAAAGGGAAATGAAAAAAAATAGAAACTACAGAAAATGTAGAAGGCAGAATATAATGATTTGTGGTGCAATCTCACCAGACCACTGGAGTTAATAAACTTAATTCTGGTGAAAGGCATCATGGGTCTCCAGTGACAAGAAATATTCAAAGCCTCAGTTTTAAGCCTCCAACAATGTCATTTACAGTGCCAAAGTATTCACTAGCACCATGCATTAACATAGAGTGAGGAGTATCACCTACTGAGTTATCAACACCATACTTTCTACCGTACTTGGGCTTTTGTGTGTGTGTGCCATCCCTTATTTAGCTTGAGAAATCTGATGAAATCCCAAACATCTGCACGCAGTATTCAAGGTGTGAGCGTACCATGGATTTATATACAGGCAATATGATATTTTCTGTCTTATTATCTATGCCTTTCTTAATGATGCCCAACATTCTGTTCACTTTTTTGACTGCCGCTGCACATTGAGTGGATTATTTCAGAGAACTATCCACAATGACTCCAAGATCTCTTTCTTGAGTGGTAACAGCTAATTTAGGGTACATCTATACTGTGACAGACCCAGACCAGTGGGGTACAGGAGTCTGGCAGAGGGCAAATATACTGGTCACTGGATGAGTAGTTTTCTGTTCCCTGAGTGACCAGAGCAGCGGCTGCACTAGCGTAATCAGGAACCTGCTAGAACCAGTTAAGGCAGGCAGGCTAATTAGGACACCTGGAGCCAATTAAGAAGAAGCTTCTAGAAAGGCAGGCTAATCAGGACACCTGGATTTTAAAAAGGAGCTCACTTCAGTTTGTGGTGGGAGTGTGAGAAGCTGGGAGCAAGAGGCGCAAGGAGCTGAGAGTGAGAGGGTGTGCTGCTGGAGGACTGAGGAGCACAAGCGTTATCAGACATCAGGAGGAAGGTCCTGTGGTGAGAATAAGGAAGGTGTTTGGAGGAGGCCATGGGGAAGTAGCCCAGGGAGTTGTAACTGTCATGCAGCTGTTACAGGAGGCACTATAGACAGCTGCAGTCCACAGGGCCCCTGGGCTGGAACCCGGAGTAGAGGGCAGGCCCGGGTTCCCCCCAAACCTCCCAATTGACTTGGACTGTGGGTTCTCCCAGAGGGGAAGGTCTCTGGGCTGTTCCCTAACCCACATTGTGAATCTCTGAGGCAAGAAAATCCGCCAATAAGCACAGGACCCACCAAGATAGAGGAGGAACTTTGTCACAATACTTACCCGCTGGTTCGGCGGCAAGCAATCAATCTCCTGGGATCGATTTATCGCGTCTTGTCTAGACGCGATAAATCGATCCCGGAAGTGCTCGCCGTCGACGCCGGTAATCCTGCTCCACGAGAGGAGTAGGCGGAGTCGACGGGGGAGCCTGCCTGCCGCGTATGGATCCGCAGTAAGTACCTTTAAGTTCGAACTAAGATACTTTGACTTCAGCTACGTTATTCACGTAGCTGAAGTTGCGTATCTTAGTTCGAACTGGGGGCTTAGTGTGGACCAGCCCTTAGACCCCATCATTGTATATGTATAGTTAGGATTATGTTTTCCAATGTGCATTACTTTACATTTATCAACATTAAATTTCATCTGCCATTTTGTTGCCCAGTCACCCACTTTTGTGAGATCCTCTTGTAGCTCTTCACAGTCCGCTTGGGACTTAACTATCTTGAGTAGTTTTGTATCATCTGCAAATTTTGCCACCTCACTGTTTACCCCTTTTTCCAGATCGTTTATGAATATGTTAAATAGGACTGGGCCCAGTACAGTACACCACTATTTACCTCTCTCCATTCTGAAAACTGACCATTTATTCCTACCCTTTGTTTCCTATCTTTTAACCAGTTACCAATCCATGAGAGAACCTTCCCTCTTATTCCATGACTGCTTATTTTGCTTAAGAGCCTTTGGTGAGGGACCTTGTCAAAGGCTTTCTGAAAATCTAAATACACTATATCCACTGGATCTCCTTTGTCTGCATGCTTGTTGGCCCCCTCAAAGATGACAGGGCTGTAGGTGATTTTACCTCAGAAATTCTGATTGTTAATTAAGATTATAGGACCTCCTTGAATTGTAAGTAAAAAAGTCTTCCACCTTTACTATTCCTTTTGTTTTATTTTACACTTCCTCATTTTCACTTGTCAATATGTGATGGACTTGCTTGTTATCTCCTCTCTGGCATAATAACATCCCTTCTCATTTGCTATGTGAAAATCTCTTGGAATTAATTTAAGGCATTTTGAAAACACTCTGTATTCTACTATTTGGAATCATTAGTAATATTTTTCCACCCTCCAAAAAAAAGCTACTAATGATTCCAAATAATATAAAATAGAGGGTTTTCAATATTGTGTGTGAGGGGGGAGGAGAATGTTCCTGAAGTAAGATTTAGCAAGAAGAGGAATAAGAAATAGGAAAACTCATCTCGTATGATACAGCTGGTGTTACAGTAGTGCAGGTGAGATAGGGAAACATATTGTACTTGTTTGTCCTGCTAGGTTTAACCAAGACACAATATGCAGTATAGTACGGTAGGTTTCTTCCTCCTGCCACCATTCTTGCTTACCAAAAACCATTTATTTCTTATCAATTGCTTTCATTGTGATAAAAATGGGAAGAAGAGGTTATATAAAACATACAGTAAATCACAAATATGAAAACAGGATTTGGAAGGGTAAGCTCTCTTCCAGTTAACTATTAATAAAAGTCCCAGCATTATTATTTCATTTGCATAAGCAAAGTTTCAGAAAAGCAATTCATTTTAAGGTGCTGAGAAAAGAGAGCACAGATTAAAACCTGTTCTGTAACTTTCCCCCGAAAATGACTTGCAAAATGAAATGGTAGATTTGTATTCAATTCCCAGAAGCCTGCTGTTTTGTATGTTTAGGGCCAATCTAAAGCACAATAAAAATACACTTGGTGATCAGACCCTTACAAGATGTTAAAAAGTATGCTAACTTTTACTAAATGTTACAATCAATGATGTAACTTATGTAAGTAGGGTTGCTTTGTCATATATTGATAGTTACCTCACTTTCACATCCACATTAACTTGATTTTAAATGCAATTAATACATATAGTCAAGGAAGACTAATGGACTACATTCTGCACTTAACCTGGTGGACATTTTCAAATGGCACAAGTGACCAGTGCAAACCTATTTTGCATTGTAAACGACTAAATAAATCTTAATGGATTAAGAATGATCAGCTATCAACACACAAGGGAAATTAAGTGCTGAAATGCCTACATTGATTATTTTAAATTATTAGCCTTACTCTGTTCTTGAATTTGTATGCTTTTAGTGAGCTTTAACACATTTACAAGACTTATTGACTATAATTACAAGAGAATTCAAGTAATGGACACATCAATTATAAGCAACATGTCTTGACCAGACAGTTGCATAAAGAATTCTAAAGAGAGCTCCATTAGCATCTTCCCCTTAGTTTTATTCAGTTTTATCTGCCTTAAGAGGGCATATTAAGGGCTTATACAGCTGTTCTGACCATGTGAACATGCCTGTGCTTCTAAAGACTTAACTTCATATTCAAAAGTTACATGTTTGCTGAAGCATTACACATAAATACATTATTGACAGGATAGAAATGATGTTGAAAGTACTAAGCATGTGTATAAATAGTCAGTGAAAATTAATACTCCTATTTACACTAACATACCTGAAGATGTTTGAAATGCAATGTCCATGCTCCCCTAGATTAATTTTAAACATGTTGTCCAGTCATGGCCTTGCCTTCTTCTATGAAAACTTACAAAACTATTTTAGGATTATGCCAAGAATTATTATTCTTTTATAATGTTTCTTGTTTCTTACCTTTTTGTTCTCTTGCTTGTAACCATGCAATAAGTTTCAAATTCTGCATGAATTTAAACTATAGCTTCCATAATAAGCCATTATTTAAAAGTACAGTAAAATAAACCTTACAGTTTTAATGAAAATATGTTCATTGAAATGTGAATTTATTATTCAAATCCACTCATAAATTCAACCATGGAGACACCACTTGTCTAAGCAGAGCTCAGTGATTTAGAAAAGCTGTCTATTTAAAATAAAGAATGTATGGCAGGTTTATAGAAACATAGCAGTGAATTTTTACATAAATTTAGAACTACAGCTTATGCATTTTCTGCAAAAATGTTTTTAAATTTTCCACTTAAAATTGAACATAAAAAGGAATGGAAAGTGTGATACAGCACATAAACTAAAGCAGGTGCTATATCCATGTGTACCACATTGACATTACATACCATCTTCTAAAAACTATTTCCAATTTTTAATAACATTTTCTATGACAAAATTTTGTTGCATAATATATATATATATATTTGTCAAGGAATGATGCAATATCAAATGACTGTCACTGAAGCATTAAATGTAAAAGTTTAACTTTTAATTCAAATGAAGTAAACCATTTTGAAACTTTTAGCAACTATAAGGGAGACAAGTTATGAAGAACTGCTAATGTGTTCTCTAAAACCCAAAGTGCTGCATAGTAATAACATAAGAACCAATTAATTATTAACACCTGGAATAAGGAGAAAATTCTTATGATTTTTTAAAGGCAATATGGTAACCACACTTAAGCACTTTTAAGGAAATTACGAGAAACCCTCCGAGTTTCCTGCCCTCTGACCACCATAGTTCCTGTCACATAGATACTTTTGAATTTCATCAATAGCTCAGGAGACAGCACACATTCACAAGGCTATATGAATTCTGGATTATCTGAAACATTAAAGAGATTAACAAGGAAAAGTATGGCAGATGCAGAGGAAAGATAGATCATAATCCACTTCTGTCAAAAGATATTGGCTGCAAATTTTATGCTTACATACCTGTATGGGTTCGAATGTGAGCTAGGAATGCCATGGAATTGCTACTTCTGCACATCTTGCCACAATACTTGCACACATTGCCTTGATTTTCCTCTCTTTCTCGGTTGATTTGCTCAGTGTCTTCCACAATGTACTTATTCACCTCCCGCAGTAATTCTTCATGTTGTTCTTTAATATGAAGAAACAAATTCTGTTCAGAATCAAAGGGCTCAGTGCACTTAACACATTTAAAGGTGGCGCCTCCTTCCGGTAACTCTTCCACACTTGCCTGTTCATTTCTCATGTGACCAGCACTAGCCAAGTGCTGGTGAAGGTTGCTTTCTGTGTAAAATGATTTTCCACAGAGTAAACAATGAAAATGTTTCTCTTTTGAAGGATGCTTCATGGCTATGTGAACATTTAGTCCACTTAAACCATCTGCTAAAAAACCACAGTCATCACAACGAATACGTGTCGATTCCCCAAGAGGATTTCCTTCAGATTTCTTCTTTTTCCCACCACCTTGTGAGCTATCTATTTTTACAGTTATCTCACTAACTTTCATTCCACCTGACATCTGTCCTTCATCGGAGTGGTCAGTGGACTCTCCATCTTGATGACTTTTTAATCTTACTATAGAAGAATCAAACTGGCCAAAATTTTGCATTGCCTTTCCTTTATCATCAGTACTGATAACAGTTTCCAAAGCCTCATTACTAGTTTCTTGCATGCCTTCAGCTGTTGAGCCATCTGCCTCCCAAATGCTGTTGTTTATAGTTACTTCTGCTTCATGTTTTGCCTCCATAAGGGCTTCCTCCTCCTCTACAGTAGGATCCCTTCGGAAGCTTCTGTCACCCTCTAAGCTATGTACATTTTGAACAGTATTTCTAATGTTTTCATCAAGATTTGACTGCTCTGCTAAATTATATGTTTCTGGAAGAGCTGGCACATGTGGAGAACTTTCTGTAAGTAATTCTTCTTCAAGAACTTCAGTATTTTTATACTCGTTTTCAAGGTTTTCTCCATTTTCTTCTAAAGTTTTCCCACTTTTTTTGGAATCCAAGTTTGGGGCATTCATGTCATTTGAAACATTTTGATTTTCTACAGTGCAATGGAAATTTGAATTGATTGGATCTTGCCCATTTTTCTGCAAATCACAAATGACTACTTCTTTAAGAGGTATCACCTCACTAAGTTTAACTTCATCTTTTTGAGATGTTTGTTGGAAGACTTCATAAAGGGGATTTGCTCCTCCATTCGATTCCTCCTCAACTTCAACTCCTATTGCATTGTGGGCACCATCTTGTTTCGAAATTTCTGAAGATGTATTTCCATCTAAGACAGTACAGTCAGCTAAGCTTTTCAGAGTTTGATCGTCCTGAGCTTTAGCATTGTTGACATATTTTGTTTCATCTGAAACTGTCTGAAATTCTTCTGTGTCTTGCTGATGATCCTTTGGAGACATAACAGAGGTTTCTTTGGCAATATCTGTTGTATCTGCTTCCTCTCCAGAGGAAGAACAAACATAAGATTGTCTTTTAATTTTATGCTTCTCTGTTGCTGCGTGCCTACTCATCTCTCGACGAGTGACTGCATAGTAGTCACAAGCCATGCAGTAGTATTCAAATTCTTTAGTATGCTTCCTTTTTACATGCAGCTCTAGAGAAGAAGATGAATGAGCAACAAACTCACAGTGTACACATTTATTGTCATTTGCACCTGTAACTCTTCTCTGAAAACATGGGTCACCATCTTGAGTAACATTACTTGGCTCCATAAATACATGCTGTTTTATATTTATAGGGTTCTTAGTATACTGCAGATCTGGGAGTTGAGATACATTGTCAACTTCTACCTCAATGGAGTTTCCCTGGTCTTCTTCCTGATTTTCTAAGACTGAAGTATCCAAATCCGATGACTGGCTATCATCCTCAACATGTTCATTCAAAATATCCATTGGGCTGTTGATCTTCTTGCTAATGGAGTCAAGATTACCTCCTTCTGGGCAAACAACTACCTCTGTGTTTTGTTTTCCATTAGCTTCTATTTCAACACGACCTTTATGTTTCTTGGTGGCACAATGACGTTCCATGTCACCTTTGGTTACAGTATAATAATTGCAAACTTTACACAAATAGCTGTACTGGTGACTGTGCTTTCGTCTAATATGTACAGTCAAGTTGGTAACACTGGAGGCCAAAAGACCGCAGTGGGTGCATGTCCTAGAAATGGTGCCTTTGGGTCTCCCTCTCTTTGGTGCATTGGCCAAAACTAACTCACTGTCTTTGGTAATTTCACCTGATGGAACCAGTTCTTTATTTGTGGATGTGTTATCCACAGTAGAAGACGGTGCCTGTATACTTTCTTTATCTAATTCAGTCTTTACATTGCCAGAAGTGGAAGGCTCCATTACTTTTTTAACATCACTTGCATCTACACATACCCTTTCAATACATTCCTCAAAACGTAAACCAATATTGTTTTTCCTGGCATTTTCAAGGTGCTTGCTTCTTTTAATATGCTTTTCCATTCCTTCTTTGCTCAGTGAATAAAGGTTACATGCTTTGCAAAGAAAATGATATTCCTGTGCATGTCGCAGTTTTATGTGTCTTGTAAGAACTGTGGAGGATCTTGTTTTATAAAAACACTTTTTACATTGAAATTGGGTTTTATTGAGAACAGAATGCTTTAATTCATTTCCATGATTTATCATGCAAGGCTTTGGGGGCTCATCCTCCATGGTCACTTCTATTTCATCTACAATTTTTTGGAGCTTATTATTTGATTCCAGTGTAGTATAAGCTGCAGTTTGCAGAGACAAATCAGTGCTAATTGATTGAGAAGTATTTTGTTGAGCCAATAAACTAATATGCTTCTCAGTTGTTTTATGATCTATCAGTTCTTCCTCAGTTAGAAAATACAGATTGCAAATAATACAATTATGGGGCATATTATGCTCTTCACTCATGTGGGTTCCAAGGCTTGTATCATTCAAGCAAATAAATGAACAAAGGTGACAATTAAAATTACAACACCCCATTTGATGTTTATTACTTTGACAGTGTTGTTCAAAGTCCCCCCTGATTGCACAGGAATAGTTACATGTTTGACAATGAAAATGCATTTCTTTTGTATGATGTCTTATAACATGAATTTCCAAACCTTTTCTGTTCTGAAAAACAATACCACAGTAAATGCAAGTATGTAGAACTTTGTTGTCAGCAACAGGTTTCATCTGAGAATCCTCAGTTTTTGTAGTGCTAGGAGAACTGGTATTTGTCCTATCTTGACTCAGAGCCTGTATTTCTGTGGTAGCCTTACACTGACTGTTAATGTCATCATCATCATCCATTTCTAACTCTCTAGGCGATTTGGGCGTTAAATTACTTGGTTTAAGCTGGGTCCTGAAGTTGTGTTTCACCTGTGTTCGGTGAGATTTGGGTTTGCCTCTTTTACTAAAATCCAGCAAACTATATCTTCCTTTAACCTGCTTTTTTAATCTAAAAGAGCCACTTTGTCTGAAAGAAGTTCTTAGTGATAAAATATTTCTCTTATGTCCTGATCTATCAAATCTCCTTGTGTTTAAACTGCCAATTATCTTTTGGGTACTTCTGGTGGGCTCTTGTTTATTCAAATTTTCTTCTGAGGACCCTGATATTTCTAGCTTTTCAGCCTGGAGTTCATGAGTTCCTTCTACACTGAAGGAAAACTCTTTTTCCTCTGTAACAGCCTCTGATTTTTCAGTGGAAATATTTTTAGATGTTATCATTTCGACAAGAAGTTCACTGCCATCACTTTGTTTAGAAAAGCTTACTTTCGAATCCTTCAGATTATTGCTAGCATTTAATTCTTTTGAATCAGCAGTTCTTGTCTTTGATTTATAGGGCCCAGATTTTGCTCTCACTTTCTTCTTTTTGACTGCCGTATACTGCTTTTTATGAATGGTTCTTTTTGTCAATCTCTTTACAAATCCTCCTCGTGCAGCAAGATGTTGACGCCGAAGGTGCGTCTTGCCAAGGAAATGAGAACGTAGGAGATTCTCCTCACCACACTGAAAACCACAGAGATCACAGCAAAATATTGATTGTCCGTGAGCCTGCTTGATATGTGTTTGTAAAGCTAAACTGTATTCTGCTTTATAACTACAGTGGGGACACACATGCTCTTTGGGTTGTTTTGAGTGGCTTTCTTGAATATGTTTTTCCAAATCAGGGTAAGAGGGGAAAAACTGATCACAAGTTTTGCATTTAAGAACTTTATCTATATTGCCAACTGTACAGCTAACACTAATTTCTTCCACTTGGAAAGTACTTTCAGGAACAGCAGATGGAACTTCTTGTGAATCTTTACTTTCCAAATGAATTTTCAGTGCAGTAGCATCAGCAGCTTTGAAATCACAATGTGGACACAAGGAATTTGAAAGAACTGTGTCACCACTGACACAGTCACTCACTGCTACCTTTTTTATGGCTCCATCTATTATATTATCTGTTTCTGCAATTGACTCCTGCCTAACTGTGAGTTTGAGTGATTTGCCTTCACTGCCTTTAGTATGTTTTGAAAAATCCAGCTTTATTCTTTTTGAGATAGGTTCATTTTCAAATTGGTCCCCTTCAGTAATTTCTAGGCTAGTTGATTCTAATAATGCCCTTTTGTTTTTGCCATTCTCTTCTCCTTTCTTCTCAAGGCTCCTATGCACTCCATCAGATAAGGACCTTGTTTCCTGGTTAGATAAGGAATCACATTCAGCATTTTCTACTGAAACATTTTTCATTGAATCTTCTGTCAGATCAGTTTGTAAACTCCCATCAACTTCATCACTCTTCTGATTTTCCTCTGCATCCATTTTTCATGAAGGCAGCACAGTTCTAGTATCAGAAGTAGCTCATTTGGCTGTACTAGTACCTATAAAATAAAAGAGTTTTATTAGTCTTTTGTACACACATAAAACAAACATAATTTGCTAATACCCCAGGTATAGGCTAACAACAACAATCTGATCTAAAGTGTCATGGGGACAGCCATAATTAAAGGTATTGGCCAGCATTTTCAAAAGGACTGTCTAAAACTAGAGATAAGGTGGGTGAGGTAATATCTTTTACTGGATCACTTTCTTTTGGTGAGAGAGACAATCCTAAAGTTATGGCACTTAAATCAAATTCACATATAGGCATCTAAATAATGGCCATGCTTTAAAGCCAGACTGTGGAGCCATTACTCATTCTGGTGAGCACTTATTTGAGTAAAATCACTGGCTTCAATAGGACTATTTGTGTGAGCAAGTGCTCAAACGGGAGAAAGGGTTACACAATTTAGCCATAAGTCGTATTGTGCAACGAGAGCTACAAGTGCTTAGCACCCCTGAAAATTAGGCTACTTTTACTTAGGCGTCTAAATAAAGATTTAGTTGTCCATACTTGGGCACGCAAGTTTGAAGTCTGACCTTTATTTCTGGCAGCCTTGACATAGCACTCTAAGTTACTATGGCCTTCAGCAAAGAGGACAACAGATAATCCACCTTTTCCAGAACTAGAGATTTCAGAATAAAAAAAGCTGACTAACCCCAAATTAAAAAACTCTAAAGACAGAATTGACCGTGATTAAGACCTGTTGGATAAACTGAAGAATCAAGAAGGATTTGGCTAAATATCATCTTTTAAGCTTTACCAGTATAAGCCCCTCCTTCCTTCCTCTGCCCACATCCCATGCCACAGCATGAGAGGAAGAGAGTGTGACCACTACTGATGGAGGAAATGAAGCCATGTGATTGCCAAAATGCTACCACTAAAACCACCTGTCATTTCCAAGGGGAAAAGTTAACAATAGGACACATTTTCCAGTGGGAGAAAGACAAGTAACAGAAGTGCCAGAGGGTAAGGAAAGAAAAAAACATGTGCTTTCTCTCAAAAAAACCCAAACCCCTCCACCACTACAGAAGCCGAAACCTCCAGTCCAGCAGCCAAAAACCTCCTTTCCGCTAACAACTGTCAATACAACTCTTCCCCAACAGCCCAGTGTGATCCTCCTCTCCATGTCAAAAGAAGGCAGATCCATTCCAGATACAGAATCCTCCAACTGCCCCCTGAACAAATTCTGTGGAAATCTGTCATTTTTGTGTGTGTAATAAAAAGAAAAAACATTCCAAACCTGAAGTATATATTAAAATAAAAATTAAAGTAATAAAGTTAATATGATTTGATTGAATACTCTATTTTAAATATATAATTCAATAAAAATCTATGTTTTTCTATTTACCTTATACTACCATAAAAACATCAATTTGCCACTGAACCCAGAGTTAGTGAGCTGCCAAATTTTGGTTCCGTTTCCACTGAATGCATGAGCCCCTGACCATAACTGTATGTGCATTCTGATAGCAATAAATAATTCCAAAGCTGATCCAGACAATAGTGTACAGCAGTGTTTCCCAAACTTGGGACGCCGCTTGTGTAGGGAAAGCCCCGGCAGGCCGGGCCAGTTTGTTTACCTGCCGCGTCTGCAGGTCCGGCCAATCGCAGCTCCCACTGGCCGCAGTTCGCTGCTCCAGGCCAATGGAAGCTGCTGGAAGCGGCGCGGGCCAAGGGATGTATCTTCAAAAAGAGCTGCATCAATTTTTACCAGCTGAGAACTGAGCCCTTAAAGTGAGGTTAACTCTGAAAAGTGACTCTGTACAGCACTCAGTGACTACATTTCAAATGTAATCAGATTGCAAGGTATATATATATAAACTGTCACCAGTGCAAATTCAACCTGAGATTTGAAAGGCAAGCTGCACCCTCTCTGGCTCATGCCTCATCATCAGTAGCAAAGATTCTGGAACTTGATGATTAATCAAAGCATGTGCATAACTTAACAAGTAGTTCTGTTGAGGTCAATGAGATTTAAACACATACTTAAAATTAAGATATATTGAAGAGTTTGGGCTGAATCAGGGTCTTAAAACATTTTTAATGTTCACTGTCCTATCGCAGCATTGGCTCTGTAGCACTGACAAAAGTAAACTTATTTTTATCAATAAAAGTTAGCAAGTAATACTTGGAATATATGCAGGGTGCATATCTACAGAGCAACAAGGTCCCATTTTTAAAGAGCCATTTTTCTGACCATTTTCACATTATAAGAAGGATCATTACTGTAGATCAGGAGAGGGCAAACTTTTTGGCCTGAGGGCCGCATCGGGTTTCGTAAATTGTATGGAGGG